TGATGATAAGATTATGAGATGAGTATTTATGGACTGAGAGCAAAAACATCAATGTCCTGAGAGAGAATATGCAGTCCAGGTGTAGGTGAATGAGTAGTAAGACTCCCATGGATACATGCCCACATACCTACAGATGCAGACAGGGTCCTGGCTTTGGCAGCTATGTGGAGGTGTGGGTCTGTGTTCAGAGAGCTGTGGAATTTCATGATGTGCAAAGGGTAATTGTGCTACTGAAATGGAAATATCTTCTAATAAACTTCTTTAAGGAAACTTTCTTTTCGCTTACATTTATGGAATTATACTTAAGAATTCAATTTGCGAAACCATCCTGAAAATTTACGAATTCGGCCTGAGATGTAAAGAGAGACCAGCTGGAACGCTACAGTGAGAAGAGTCCGCGCTTCTATCAAGGTAGGAAGACGGGGAAAAAGAAATAAAGGAACAAAAGGCCTCCGAGGGGGAGGGGCCCCGCGAGGAGCCGGGCTGAGGCCGGGGCGAGTGTCCCCAGGACAGGAGAGCCCCGTCCCGGAGGAGCAGGAGCTGCACCAACCTTCCCGGGCGGGCGGAAAGGGGCTCGCAGGGAGTTGGAGCAGGACCCAGGAGAGCGGGGATGCCCTCGGGCTCCCGGGGACACTAACAGACACCTGCGCCCCGGGAGAGTGCGCCGAGCTCCCTAAGGGCTGCAGCGCGCACGGCGGGGCCGGAGCAGCTCGGAGGGGCTCGGGCGGCGGCTCCGCGGAGGGGGCTGCGGGGCGGGAGCGCGAATCCAACAGCGCAGGCCCCGGAGCACAGGGCGCCGGGACACAGCCCAGGATCCGGCCTCCCCCGGGACAGGCAGAGGCCGGGAGGGCCCAGGACAGCAAGGACGCTCCTGCCCCGAGCTGAGCAGATCAGCGGCCCCGCCCCGGAGCCTCCAGGCCCTGCGGACTGAGAGCCGAGAGCCCCGGGCCCCGAAGTTACTGCGGAGGCTGAATCCAGGCTTCCAGAGTTGCCATAGCAACTGCGGCTGATCCTCCTGGGGCCCAACGGGGTAAACAACCCCAGCTGAGCCCCGCAGCAGGCAGGGGCAGAGCAGCTCCCCCAAGTGCTAACACCTGAAAATCAGCACAGCAGGCCCCTCCCCCAGAAGACCAGCTGGACGGACCAGTGATACTCCCCCGTGTTCCAATACAACTTGTTTTTGGCCACTCTGCACTGAGCAAAATGACTAGAAGGAAAACCTCACCTCAAAAGAAAGAATCAGAAACAGCCCTCTTTCCCACAGAGTTACAAAATCTGGATTACACTTCAATGTCAGAAAGCCAATTCAGAAGCACCATTATACAGCTACTGGTGGCTCTAGAAAAAAGCATTAAGGACTCACGAGACTTCATGACTGCAGAATTTAGATCCAATCAGGCAGAAATTAAAAACCAATTGAATGAGATGCAATCCAAACTAGAAGTCCTAAGGACGAGGGTTAACGAGGTGGAAGAACGAGTGAGTGACATAGAAGACAAGTTAATGGCAAAGAGGGAAACTGAGGAAAAAAGAGACAATCAATTAAGGGACCATGAAGACAGATTAAGGCAAATAAATGACAGTCTAAGGAAGAAAAACCTACGTTTAATTGGGGTTCCCGAGGGCGCCAAAAGGGCCAGAGGGCCAGAATATGTATTTGAACAAATCCTAGCTGAAAACTTTCCCAATCTGGGAAGGGAAACAGGCATTCAGATCCAGGAAATAGAGAGATCCCCCCCTAAAATCAATAAAAACCGTTCAACACCTCGACATCTAATAGTGAAGCTTGCAAATTCCAAAGATAAAGAGAAGATCCTTAAAGCAGCAAGAGACAAGAAGTCCCTGACTTTCATGGGGAGGAATATTAGGGTAACAGCAGACCTCTCCACAGAGACCTGGCAGGCCAGAAAGGGCTGGCAGGATATAGTCAGGGTCCTAAATGAGAAGAACATGCAACCAAGAATACTTTATCCAGCAAGGCTCTCATTCAAAATGGAAGGAGAGATAAAGAGCTTCCAAGACAGGCAGGAACTGAAAGAATATGTGACCTCCAAACCAGCTCTGCAAGAAATTTTAAGGGGGACTCTTAAAACTCCCCTTTAAGAAGAAGTTCAGTGGAACAATCCACAAAAACAAGGACTAAATAGATATCATGATGACACTAAAGTCATATCTGTCAATAGTAACTCTGAACGTGAATGGGCTTAATGACCCCATCAAAAGGCGCAGGGTTTCAGACTGGATAAAAAAGCAGGACCCATCTATTTGCTGTCTACAAGAGACTCATTTTAGACAGAAGGACACCTACAACCTGAAAATAAAAGGTTGGAGAACCATTTACCATTCAAATGGTTCTCAAAATATACCCTAAAAACTATAGAACACTTCTGAAAGAAATTGAGGAAGACACAAAGAGATGGAAAAATATTCCATGCTCATGGATTGGCAGAATTAATATAGTGAAAATGTCAATGTTACCCAGGGCAATTTACTATCAAAATACCATGGACTTTCTTCAGAGACTTAGAACAAATTATTTTAAGATTTGTGTGGAATCAGAAAAGACCCCAAACAGCCAGGGGAATTTTAAAAAAAGAAAACCATATCTGGGGGCATCACAATGCCAGATTTCAGGTTGTACTACAAAGCTGTGTTCATCAAGACAGTGTGGTACTGGCACAAAAACAGACACATAGATCAATGGAACAGAACAGAGAACCCAGAAGTGGACCCTGAACTTTATGCTCAACTAATATACGATAAAGGAGGAAAGACGATCCACTGGAAGAAAGACAGTCTCTTCAATAAATGGTGCTGGGAAAATTGGACATCCACATGCAGAAGAATGAAACTGGACCACTCTCTTGCACCATACACAAAGTTAAACTCAAAATAGATGAAAGATCTAAATGTGAGACAAGATTCCATCAAAATCCCAGAGGAGAACTCAGGCAACACCCTTTTTGAACTTGGCCACAGTAACCGGAGAAGGACAAACAGTGTATGTTCTCATTCATTTGGGGAATATGAATAATAGTGAAAGGGAATATAAGGGAAGGGAGAAGAAATGTGTGAGAAATATCAGAAAGGGAGACAGAACATAAAGACTTCTAACTCTGGGAAATGAACTAGGGGTGGTGGAGGGGGAGGAGGGTGGGGGGTGGGGGTGAATGGGTGACGGGCACTGAGGGGTACACTTGACGGGATGAGCACTGGGTGTTATTCTGTATGTTGGTAAATTGAACACCAATAAAAATTAATTTATAAAAAAAAAGAATTCAATTTGCAACATCATTTGTTGTTTTCTCTATGCATAAGTCTTCTTATAATGATTTTATTTATGATTGAAAAATATGGTGTAAACTGTCTTTTGATAATATACGCCTTATTGATTCATTCATAATAGTAATTTGTTGCTGAAACTCAAATGTCCTTGTCAGTAGAAAAATTTTAGATCTAGCTTTCCCTCTACAGAAACTGTGACTCTGGACCCCAATTGTAAGTGGCCCCTCAGGATGAAAATATTAACTACTTTTTATTTTATTATTTTATTTTATTTTATTTATTTTATTTTATATAATAAGGATTTCCTATGTGTGCTCATAACAGCAGCAGTTCTGCTGTGATGCAGGTCCATACTCATGTTAAATCCAGGTATCTCCTAAAGTATTTTATAATACTTTCCTAGTCATCCTTGTCAAAAGAGTAAGCACATATATTTATGGTGCTATTAACATTCCATCAAAGTGTAGGTGTAAATACCTATACCTCCCCTGCCTTGCATTGGTTACCTCTGTTTGGATCCATAATCTTAATAGCCCATAATCATTAGCAAATGGTATGTAATCTCCAAATTGTATGTAATCTCCAAAAATATAAAACCACATAATAAAATAAACCAATACTTTCAAATTTATTTCCATTCCTCCTCTGAGGTCACCAAGACTATAGATCTAAAAGGAAGAAGAGGAAAATATGATATGATTAATATAACAAATATAGCATAAATACAAGTATGTTAATACAATTCAATGTTTAATAAATGTCTTTAGTAAAGACAAAAGTCTTTACTAAGTGGGAAGAATGTCCAGAAGAGCATGTTTTATGAGTTAATTAGAAAATATGGTAGTGGCTTACCTAATGAATCTATGAGAAATTATTCAATCGCTAAGGTGAATAGTTCCATATATATGTTCATTTTTTCCACATTTTTGGGCAACTCTTCTAGAAAGTGGTACTCATTTTATTTGTTTTATGAGATGTTTCTACTATAAATTACTGTGTCATCTTTATGTTTGTTAAAATAACCAAGTGTCTGTTTTAAGCCCACAGATTTATTGCTAAATTATAACTCTATCCCTGTGTTTCTTATACTTAAAGCACATTAAGTTTCTACATAATAGTTCTCTGTCAATCCACATTAGAAGGCTCACTATTGTGTGAAACTTTAGGATGATTATTATACCTGATAAAGTAATCCACAGAAGTGGAGTGTGAACTTTGATTTGTTTCTATCATTTTACTAGATCCTGTAGACACAAAGTCCCATCACTCAACATCTAGATACCCATCTTACCCTATGTCAATAAGTTTGTCATACAAGATCAACTACTTGGTAGGTTTTCTTTTTTTTTTTGGAGTATTGATATATGCTACAGTGTGATTGTACCTTGAAAATATTATGCTGAAAGAGGTTAAATCACAAAATACTGCATATTACATGATCCCCTTTACACGAAAAGTCCAGAATAGGGAATTGAGGGAAAAATGGGCAAGTCACTACTAATGAGTATAAGGTTTCTTTTGGGGGTGATGAAAACAGTCAGAAATTAATTGTAGCAATGGTTGCACAATACTGTGAATGTTTTAAAAACCACCACTTTAAGTAGGTGAGTTGTGTGGTGTGTAAATCATCTCCCACAAGGCTGTCTTACACGTCTATAAGTAAGATAATGGGTTGGCTTTTGAGAGGGTCAAGTGGAGGTATCCGGGTGCTAATGGAAGAGATCATGAGTGAGAAGGAGAATAAAACCATTGTTTTTGTTGAAACCAAAAGAAGATGTGATGAGCCTACTAGAAAAATGAGGAGAGACGGGTGGCCCGCCATGGGTATCCATGGTGATAAGAGTCAACAGGAATGTGACTGGGTTCTAAATGAATTCAAACATGGAAAAGCTCCTATTCTGATTGCTACAGATGTGGCCTCCAGAGGGCTAGATGTGGAAGATGTGAAATTTGTCATCAATTATGACTACCATAAGTCCTCAGAGGATTATATTCATTGAATTGGAAGAACTGCTCGCAGTACCAAAACAGGCACAGCATACACTTTCTTTACACCTAATAACATAAAGCAAGTGAGCGACCTTATCTCTGTGCTTCATGAAGCTAATCAAGCAATTAATCCCAAGTTGCTTCAGTTGGTCGAAGACAGAGGTTCAGGTCGTTCAAGGGGTAGAGGAGGCATGAAGGATGACCGTGGGGACAGATACTTTGCGGGCAAAGGGGGTGGTTTTAATACCTTTAGAGACAGGGAAAATTATGACAGAGGTTACTCTAGTCTGCTTAAGAGAGATTTTGGGGCAAAAACTCAGAATGGTGTTTACAGTGCTGCAAATTACACCAATGGGAGCTTTGGAAGTAATTTTGTGTCTGCTGGTATACAGACCAGTTTTAGGACTGGTAATCCAACAGGGACTTACCAGAATGGTTATGATAGCACTCAGCAATATGGAAGTAATGTTCCCAATATGCACAATGGTATGAACCAACAGGCATGTGCATATCCTGCTACTGCAGCTGTGCCTTTGATTGGTTATCCAATGCCAACAGGATATTCTCAATAAGACTTTAGAAGTATATGTAAATGTCTGTTTTTCATAATTGCTCTTTATATTGTGTGTTATCAGACAAGATAGTTATTTAAGAAACATGGGAAATGCAGAAATGACTGCAGTGCAGCAGTAATTATGTTGCACTTTTTCTCTATTTAAGTTGGATATTTCTCTACATTCCTGAAACAATTTTTAGGCTTTTTTTGTACTAGAAAATGCAGGCAGTGTTTTCACAAAAGTAAATGTACAGCGATTTGAAATACAATAAATGAAGGCAACGCATGGCCTTCCAATAAAAAATATTTGAAGACTGAAAAAAAAAGTATTTTACTTGAATTTAGCCAAGTTAATAAAATAGTTCCCACAAAATATTTGTGGATTCCAAAGTAGTTGGAATGATAGGATAGAGTTTATTGACCTGCTGTGGACTGAATTTTGTACCTCCCCATCCCCAACTGAATGCAAGTGTTAAAGCCCTAATCTCTAGTTATCTGCCTTTGAAGATAAAGTCTTTAGGAGATAATTAAGGTTCAGCGAAGTCATAAAGGTGAGGCCCTAATTTGGTAAGATTGATGGCATTATAAGAGGAAAAGAGTGATCTCTCTCCATATCCACATGCTCAGAGCAAAGGCTGTGTGAGTATTGTAGCAAGAAGGCAGATGTCTGAAAGTCAGAAAGAGTTCTCACCAGAAACTAACCCCTGCCAGACCATTATCTGGAACTTTTAACCTCCAGAATTGTGAGAAATAAATTTTGTTGTTTTTTTTTTATGCCACCCAGCCCATGATACTTTGTTGTGGTGGTCTTAGCAGACTAATACACGATTTATACCCAATAGTGCAGGGTTCTGTAGGGTAAAGTTGGTGATTTGTATTATCTAGTTGACACAGACTGAAATAAAATAGAATGAAAATGGTCTTTCAATTTTGAAATCTCTCAGCAATTTGGATTATTGATTTTATCATAGATTTTTATGTCTGAGTTATATTTAAGTGATGCATTTCAATAAATTGCTACTTTAGTCACTGCAAACAATATACATTATTTACAATAGGACAGAATGTACAGAGATAATATTTGAAATATTTATCAACCTGTATGGCATGTGCATTAGTCAATTAAAATGATGTCCTACCAATGACAAAAGAAAATAGCTGCTTTGTTAAGCTTATGTGTTGTGTGGCAGATCTGCCTACCCATACATCAGTATGATCTTTAAATGAGTGATAGTACCAATAATAGTTGAGGTAGTGGATATACTGAGATATTTCTTTGAAATAATTTTATAATTCTTTAACTTCTGTTGTAAATAGTTTCTGTGAAAACCTGACTTGTTTGTAGAACATATTGTGGCATAGGAGTTACAACTTATCTTTGAAATTAGGTGCCTCTTGAAGAAATCTGTTTCATTATCATTAAGTTAAATGCTAAAATCCCTCTCATATTATTGGCCACATGTGTTATCTCTTAATTTTAGAGTTTTCTTTTTTGTATTACTTCCCTGCCTCTGGAGTATAGACTAATTGCTTTTGTAGGATTGACTTTTGACTTTGTAAGTTGTAGTTATACTTAACAACTTTTACATAATCATATGACTTTGTTAGGTGAAGTTTAGGTCAGATGGTCCCACCACCTACAACATTCAGGTATGTTAGAGTCCTGCAGCTTATGGGAAAGTGAGAATTGGAAAAGCCCATGGAAACCACCCTGTGCAAATCCCGCCTCTCCCTGTGCACTTATTTTAAAGATAATAATTTTCTCCCTTTCCACATAATATCTTTAAGAAAGGTGGTAGCTGCTCTAGACAATTTTATTCTGGTTAATTTCTAGTGGGTATAAATGAAATTAAATTTAAAAAATCCAAAACATTAGAAAAGATAGCAAACTCAGAATTTTAATTGCCTCAGTAAAGGATTGAAAATGAATGAATGAAATATGAGCCCTTAAAAAAACTTACAGTTTAGGTCTGAGCTATTCACATGTTGCTTTTCTCTAGTAGGAATTAGAATTTGGTAGGAACTGAGACAAAACTACTTTGGCGTGATTGCAAAACCACATTGTAAGTGGGATCAACAACATTTGGCTCAGATCCACTTAATCTGATGCATTATGAGTAACTCAATTTAATTGAAAATCACCACCAGACATTGTTATTAGATAAAGTTATGAAATGATTTGCTGTAGCAGCAGGGACTTATAGGTCTTGTGTGCAACATAAAATTTTAATGAAATGGGCATTTAAAGATTACCATTACAGTATATCATGTAGTCTATGATTAAAACATTAAATTATTTTTACATAATAAACCAAGATAAATGCAAGGTCTGGGATTTTAAAATGACAACCAAAGAAAGCAAATGAGCTTAAATTTTATTAACAACATATTGTCACATAAAACAAACTAATATGTTTGGCAATGACTATGTAGTACACACCATTGAAGAACTATTTTTTTTGTCTGAGAAGAAGAAAATAAGGCATATATTTATAAAAAGTTCCATAGACTGTGAGGTGCTTGAAGATTTGATGTCTACAAGAGATCCCAAGGTTGTTTCAAGATATATTGAGCCAATGTGATAGACTCCCCAACATCTATTCCACTCTAACTGGTTAGTCTCTAGTCATCATTGTCATCTCATTCTTCTGGCCAGAGGTTTGTTTAGTTGTGGGAACAACTTGATTCTTTTTTTTTTTTTTTAACAACTTGATTCTACTAGAATGTTAGCTGTAAGAGGAGAATATTTTTGACAGTTGTGTGCACTGATGTATCCCCATAACTTAGAACAGTGACAGGCCTATGGTCGATACCTAGTAATAATTGTTGAAAAAAGAATGAAAGAAATAGGAAAAAAGAGAAAAGAGGGAAGGAAGGAAGGAAGGAAGGAAGGAAGGAAGGAAGGAAGGAAGGAAAGAAAAAAAGGAGGAGAGAAAGGAGAGAGGAAATAAGAAGGGTGGACAGAATAGATGGAAAAAAGAAAGAAAAGGAGGAAAGGAAATAAGAGCAGAGAGTATTGCTTGGGAGAGTATTGCTTGGGTTCCTGGAATCAATAAATTGATCTCTCTCTGTTTCTTTCCCTACTTGAGTAAGATGATTTTGCCCTATTGTTTCTGGCAGCCATTCTAAAACCATAAAAATAAGCAGCCATAGGATGGAATTTATCCCATGTATGGTAGAGAGATAGAAAGAACATGAGTTCTTTCTTTTCTCCCAATTTTACTGGGATATAACTGACACCTCTTACTGTATAAGTATAAGGTGTACAGCATAATGGTTTGAGTTACATATATTGTGAAATAATTACTGCAATTACATTTAGTTAACATAATAGATACAATAAAAAGCAAAAAAAGAAAAAAATTCTTATGTTGAGAACTCTTAAGATACATTCTCTTACAACTTACCTATATATCACACAGCAGTGTTAGCTATACTCATCATATTGTACATTACATCCCTAATACTTATTAATCTTATAACTGAAAGTTTGTACCTTTTGACCACCTTCTTCCAGTTACCTCTCCTCCACTGCCAATTATCCCTCCTTCACCTCTGGTAACCACAAATCTGACCTCTCTCTCTCTCTTTGTTATTAGTCTGGTTTCTGGTGTTATTTCCCCTTCAATTCCACCCATAAGTGAGATCATACCAGTATTTGTCTTTCTTTCTTTGACTTACTTCATTTAGCATGATACCTCTGCTCTCATAACCAGTGGTTCATTTCCTGTGGCTATGAGCCAGTTTCTGTTTTGTTTTGTAAGTTCATTTGTTTTTTTGATTCTGCATATTAGTGAAATCATATATTTGCCTTATTTCACTTAGCATATAAAGATGTTCATCTATTGATGCATAAATCTTTAATCTATTTTGAGTCAATTTTTGTAAGTGGTGGAAGATAAATGTTTAGTTTCATTCTTTTACATGTGAATATCCACTTTTTCCAATATCATTTATTGAAGGGATTGACTTTTCTCCACTGAGTAGTCTTGGCTCCCTTGTCAAATATTAGTTGGCAGTATATGCACGGGTTTATTTCTGGGCTCTCAATTATGCTCCATTGATGTATTTGTTGTGTTTGTGCATGTACAATACTGTTTTAAATACTATAGATTTATAGTATAGCTTGAAATCAGGAAGTGTGATGCTTCCCACTTTTTTTTTCTTTCAGGATTGCTTTGGCTGTTCAGGGTATTTTGTGGTTCCATATACATTTTGGATTTTTTTTCCTACTTCTGTTAAAAAAGGATTGCATTGAATTTTAGATAGCTTTTGATAGTATTAACATTTTAACAATATTAATTCTTCCAATCCATAAACATGAGCCTGGGTGGCTCTGCGGTTTAGCACTGCCTTTGGCCCAGGGTGTGATCCTGGAGTCCTGGGATCAAGTCCCACATCAAGCTCCCTGCATGGAGCCTGCTTCTCCTCTGCCTATGTCTCTGCCTCCTCTGCCTCTCTCTCTCTGTGTGTGTGTGTGTGTCTCTCATGAATAAATAAATAATATCTTTAAAAAAAAAGTAAGTAACACACCTGGTGACAAGACAAATATCAGCAAATTCAGTTACTTCCCTATGTCTAAACACTAAACCAGGGAGTTACCTTTCCATTTTTTGTGTCTTTCTTTCATAGTTTTATAGTTTTCCAAGTAGAGATCTTCACCTCCTTGGTTAAATTTATTCCTAAGTGTTTAATGTGTTTAATTTACTATTGTAAATTGGATTTTTTTCTTTATTTCTTTCTCAGATAATTCATTATTAATACATGAAAATTCTACTGATTTTTTATGTTAATTTTGTATCCTGCAGCTTTACTGAATTTTTTGATTAGATCTAATAGATTTTTGTGTGTGTGTGTGTGTGTGAAGTGTTATGGATTTTCTGTAATTCTAGAGACAATTTTACTTCTTTCTTTCCAATTCTGATGCCTTTTATTTATTTTTCTTATCTGATTGCTCTGGTACAGACTTCTAGTACTATGTGGAATAGATGTGGTAAGAATGAACACCCTTGTCTTGGGTGGTTGAAAAGATTTCAACCTTTCACCTTTGGTATGATGTTAGCCGTGGGCTTATCATAAGTGGCCTTTATTATGTTTGAGATACATCCATTCTATGCCTAATTTGCTGAGAGCTTTCATCATGAATGTATACTGAATTTTGTCAAATGTATTCTCTGAATATATTTTTTAGAAACATACAATGTACTAAGATTTAATCAGGAAGAAATAGAAAGTCTGAATAAACCAATTACCAGTAAGGAGATTGAATCAGTAGTGAAAAATCTCTTAATGAAGAAAACTCCAGAACCACATGGTGAATTTTAAT